TCCCTCTTTAAAGAAATGTTTTCGTTCTTCAACTTGATCTGAGGAACAAGTTCTTTTAGATCAAACGATAGAAAATTTTATCTTCTATCGGTCTGACTGGTCTCGGAATTTTCGGAAGTAGTATTTGAATTTAAAAAATGGTTAAAATTCGCTTGTTGCCGTGTTTTTTCCAGTAATAAAGATATTTCAAGCTTTCTAATAGAAGCTTAGTTTCAACTTTTTTTATTGTGGCATTTCCAAAGAGATTTTATTTAAGATAGATTTATTAATAATTTAATTCTGAACAGGTCTGTATGATTGGTGAGTTGTACCTTGCAAAGTTTTCAAGAAATATTCGCTGAAAGTTGCACTGGCCCATAGAACAGAATACTCAATTTTTTCTCTTTTAGAATTCTTTTTTACATGAGAATTCCTACACGAGACTTCGCTGTAAAATTACGCTGCATACACCAGAAAAGGCAGAATTTAGCGCAGAATTTTATGATATATTTGGAATTTTCGTGGGACGCTTGTTTGTATTTTGCTGCTTTTTACTTTTTTTGAGTGTCGCAGTACAACCATTCAGTATATGCTGATATTTTAAATATGACTCCGAGAGAAAGTTTTTGTTCGACGATCCAGCTTGTCAGTCTTGTAGAGAAGAAAATTCTCTGTTGAACGTGTTTAGAACGGAGACCCTAAATTATAGGGAACTGCCCGAAAAAAAGGAAATGATTCTAATCCGTTATTGGTTTTTGAAACTTTTCTTGAAATCAAAAGTATATGACAGATAAATTGAAGATTTTTAGAAGATCTACTATAAATTTTCACTAGATTTCTTAATTTTCTTCTGAAAATAAACATTACCACGTGATAGGGCATGATTGAAAACTTCTGTTTCTATGTGTTTACGAAATTCCCAAACGGAAGCTTCACGCTGTCCCTGGGCTTCCAGCAAAAATGGATTTGTAGAGGGCACTATTGACACCATGTTAACCAAGGATCGAGTTGTCAAAGTTAAAGTAACGTGATGACGCCCTTCACATTGCCTCCAATAAGTTTCTTTCAAGTATAGACTGCAGAGAACAATTATTTAAAGGATAAATGTAGTAATTATACTGTGTGAAAAAAACTTGAGTGAACGTATTATTGATATAAATTTATAGATGACTGAAAATAAAAGTCTACATGATGGAATATCACTTATAATAATATCTTTTACGGATCACTAATGTAGTAGTCATGAGAAAAAATACTTTCTGTTTTGTGGAACCATCCTGTAATCCGTGGCAACAATACAACACCCGTTTTAAAAAGGAATAGGTTGAGTACAAAATAGACTGACTGAGACTATCCATATATTCTGTGTTTTCAAGCAGAGTTATCTTTTGTTAAAATTTGAACGAACAACGGGGGAGGTGGTCTCCAGTGGGGGATAGCGACATATTATAACCACAGGACCCCACCAGATACAACCGTGTAAACTTTGTCAAAATAACGTTATCAAACTTTGATCACGCATGGGAGATCGTTGGCTGAACAAGCCGTCAAGTTGCTTCTAAATCTGCTTGTGAAGTATACTTTTTATTGTGATCTGGAATTATTGATGTAGAACCTCTACACAAAGTCATTTTCGGCTGTGTTCATAAAAAAGCAAAAATTATTGTAAAAACTATACAATAAAAAAATACGACTGTTTCTCGTAACAGAATGCTGAGTAAATCGTTTGTACCACAGACAAGTGTCAATCACTAAAACAAAGTATATTATGAAAATGAATGCTCTTATCTATAATTAGACAAAAGAGAGGGTAAAAGTTAAAATATAAAATAAGCATTTTTCATAGAAAAATAGTGCTTCTGCTGAACAGTAACATATTATTTACGATTTTTCTGCATAATGAGCGGCGTATTTTTGTACACGATGTTGAGATATGTTATCGAAATGTTTCAGATGAGGTTGAAATTCAATTAATTCAGTTGATTTTAGTTTAGCTGAAGTTTGATTCGTATGATAAGGTTTGATATCTAATTGGGGTGGAGAAAATTTTTTTCGAAATCGCCGTACGGTAACTTTAACTGTTTTCCATTCAATTTCGTTTGCTGAGATAATAAAAGCTTTCGTATTTGATGGATGATTAACATCAACGATAAACGACGTTTTGTAACGTTTACTACCGTCATTATTAATTGTTTGGAATACATGCGTTTGTGGTAAAAGCTCAATTTCTCTGAAATTATTTTCAAATGTTTGATGTATTCGATTCAAATGTGAGTGTAAAACGAGCATAACATCATCTCTCACTGAAGGTGGTTTTTTAACTGATTTGACATAGATAGCAATTGCTAATAGCGATGCATAGTGTGTATTCAAATTGGGAAATGTTTCTTCTTCGATGATATGATAAAGCGATTTTGTACGTTTGAGTTGATGAACTAAAACGTGCACGTCATCAGTTGTCGGTGATACTTTACTATCGATGACATCTGTGCTATGAACATCCGGAGAAACAGAGGAGTATGCTCTTAATCTCATACGTCGTTTTAGCCATGGTTTAACGAATATTCGTTGAGCAGAAAACTGTTGACTCTTTGATAAATATTGCAGACTATTAGATTCATCAAGCTGTACGCTTTCATTTTCGCTTGAACTTGATCTGTCGTATTGACGACGCCATGAATCATCGACAGAATGTCTTGAGCGAGTCTGATATTTTCGCGTCAAAGACGGATTATGATTATCGACGATATCTTTAACTTGTTGATTTTGCTCTTCAACTGAACCTTGTGTTCTATCAACATATTCTTCGGTAATTAGCGTATGATGCGCGTAATCAGCTGGTTTCATTTCACTTTGTTCGACAATTGTGTCTAAAATTGTATTTGTGTCTGTATCATGTTTACTAGACATCTCTTCTTCGTCATCTTTACCGCTTGACTTGTGAACGTTTGGAACAAATGTATGAGTTTGGAACAACAGACATTTTCCATTTCCGTTCTTGTAAGATGAGAAACGTGGTGTTCTGCTATCATCGGTATTGATGGATTGATTATTTGTTTGGATATCATCAGTATTTTCTTTACGTGATATTGTTAGAATAGCATTGTCTAATATTATTGAAGCTAGTTCTGCTGAATACTGATTAATCAACATTTCTCTATCAACACTCGAATTATTAGTTAAGAGTAATTGTAGGTTTGCACGTTCTTCGGATATTATCGGCGATGGTGTTTGCTGTCGGTGAAGTGCGATGCCCGTTGGATTTATTGGATTTTGTCTTAGAAAGTCTTCGATAATAGGCGTTTGCTGTCTATGAGTAGTAGTTTTAGTAGTGTGACTGTTAGAAAAGAAATTTTTTATTTTAGCACTTCGCCGGTGGTGGCGTTTGTCAGATTTTTTCTCCGGCGATTCGAACATGGATACAAGACTTCGGACGGTATGCGTATTTTCAAAATCCAAATTTTCTTCCTCTGTTTGTGTTATACTTTTTTGTGGGAGCTCATGTTTAGCCGGCGTATTACGTATTGATAGTGCTCGTTTTAATTCTTGAACAACTGTTTCGCGCTGATGCGAAAAAGTTTTCTCAATTGGAGCTGATTTAGAAATAACATCTTTCGGTATAAATTTTGGTTTTGCTGATAAACGTTTCTTCTCAGATAAACTATCTTGCACCATTGTGTTTGGATACTTAAGCAATGTCGGACTTTGATCTTGCGCTTCTGAAATGATAGACTTCTGGGAGACATCATTATCTAATGGACTGTACTGAGTTGATGCATTTAAAATAGTCAATTGCTCCGGTATTGTTCCTGCATCTTTTACACTTTTCGGTCTGACAGCGGCATTTGTATAAGTCATAAGTTCATTCGCTGCACCATACTCTTTTATTGATAGATCTGTTGTTGTCTCGACGTCTTTCATTGTCATCGTCCCCGAACTCGCATACGATCGTTGTTTATCTTGATGAATGTCCGCTATTATCTTTGTCAAATGATCGGAATTAAAAATCGGTTTGCTCATGTGAATATCTTTAACAATAGTTGTTAAATCTGATGTAGAATATCCATCTCGACGAATTTCTGAATAAAGCGGTGTTGAATCATCGTAGTAAATACAATATTTTTTATGTCTACCGTGGCACATGCAATGAAATTCTGTTTCATCACTACTTCTAGTCATTTGTTGTTCTTCATCTTGTATATCTGTTTGTATTTGAATTGTCCTCTTGTTTTCTTGAGTTCGTTCTGGTATTGCATACATGAGTGTATTGGTCGAGATTGAGACTGATTGCTGTTTAGGTAAAAAATTTGGCGTTGTATTCGTTGATGAAAATCGTCTAGTAGGATGATGTAAATCTGATAGAATTGTTTCAAGATTCGTTGTTTCGGTTTGCTGAAGTGCATGCATAATTGTTTCTAATTCATAAGTAGTATTTTTCTCTTCTTCTTGCTGGTCAACGTCGTTAACATTACTTTCATAATCAGTTTCTTCGTCTTGATTGTAATAATTCATCAAGTTTGCTAAACGCTGTAAATATTCTAATTGATCTGCATTTAAATCCGTTAATGTCAGTGCATCTCGTCTTTTTCGGGCTTTTTGTAAAAATAAATTGTTAACAAGAGCAAATGTATTCCATAATGTTCCTATTAATAATTTGGATGTATTTTCATTTTTAAACGATGATGATAAAACAGTTTTATCATCAAATGTTCGAGGATTATCTAATCGAACTAATGATTCTATACCCGAACCGAGTGAAAATAGACTTCGTCGTTTATCATTCGATGCACCAATGGAACCTCTCGTTGTTGAAATACTTGCAGTTGTTGAGCGTCTGTTCGATAGTATTGGTTTTAACGATGTCGAAATATCTTTTCTTGAATGACGACGATCCATCGATATTGAACGTTTTATCGGTGATGAAGAATATTTTCGTTTTGGTACGTATAAACGATTTTGTTGTTGATCATCTTGTTTGCGTGCACGAGTTAAAATTATTGTTGGCGATGAGTAGTTATGTGCTAGATTGATGTTCGATCTTTGTCGTTGCTCATCACTCATGCGAATGAATGAACGAGGAGGTAAAACATCGTTTGTCGAGGCGACGGTAGCACGACGACGATTTGGAGAGAAAATATTACTGTTTTCATCTTCTGGGTCTATTTTTGAATTATCGTAGATAGGATAAGCTATGATGTCAGATATACGATGCTGAATGATTTTTTCCGTGTATGAACTATTATTTTCAGAGTCAATGCTACTCGATGATGAGTAACCAGAGTCTAATTCATCTTTTAAAGGATCTTTAGTAATTATGATCGATTGTTGATTTTTTCTTCGTTCTCTTTTTAAATACTTTGTCGAAAATCGTTGTTTACACAATTTACGATTGTTACAAAAGATTTTTTTGTAAACACGTAGAAGAAAGTGTGTAATTTTTGTGGAAAAAATATTGCTACTCATCGTTGTTGCTACCCGAACTGAATTCGATCTAAATAAAGGATAATGATAAATTTAGAATCAGATCAGAACAATGGAATATCTCTCATATTCAGTTCGAGGCAGCAACATTACATGAGCAGTGCAGAAGCAATTGAAGCGCACAAGATAAGAGTGGAAAGAGAAACAAAACTGAAACTTACACTGACGAATAATTGCCAATTGAGTTTCGAGCTGAATTTTTCACAGCCTAAAAGAAAAATAGTGTTACAAATCATACATGTCTTTTCACAAAAATCATCTGCATTTATCATCGACTCACATTTGTATCGATATCATCATCATTGGGATCTAGTTTTGCTTTCATCAATGGAAAATTTGCTTTTGGTGGTGCATCTAAAAGTCGATCAAGTTTTCCGAATGATATGGGAAGAAATGGTAAGCCGAGTAGGAATGTGAACGATACTAAAATAAAATAACATACTTATAGAAAGAACTTAGTTTGATTAGATATAAATAAACCTTACATATGAATATAAGCCAAAGTGGCCATAATGATAACGTGTCATCGAACCAATAGTATTTATTAGATGCTTGAATAAACGTACAATTTTTACAAAATTCTGGTGTTGAATTAAAATAAGTTTGAAGAAATTTGGCTTGTCGAAAGCCATCGCAGATTTCATGAGAAAATCTGTCGGCTATAAGTAAAATGTTTATAACTATAAGTTAAATATTTTACATTCAATTTTTACTATAAACTTACACGATGAATTTACACAATATATTTCAAATGCATCAGTGACATCGTCTACAGGATAAATGGTATTATTAGTGGTATCTAAAAGTGCTACTGATAACAATTGGGCTCGATCATATTTATATGGACCTAAGTCTAAAGTGTCCGGTAAGTATATGCCAATATTTGTATTGTTGTTTACTGTTTGCAAATGTGGTATTATATTTTGATCAATAAAATCACGTAATTTATTGGGTAAACCTGAATCGGTTACTGTGATATGTTTTATATCATGGAGAAAATCAAATACCAAATATTGAAAATCGTCGTCGATAACACACGTATAGCCACTAAATAGAGAAAGAGAGAGTAAATGTTACACAACCTAAAGAGAATGAATAAGCAGTAACTGATTATTTGTTAAAGTTATCAATGGCTAACAAGAAGTTCTATTTAAACAAGTTTACTTGTCTAATAAGTGCAGTCACATCACTCACTTCACATTTGTCATTGGAACACATTTTGATTCATTTTGGCACCTATGATTTTGACATGAACTAACAGTAAATTCACATCTTGTACCGGTCAATTCAGGGGGACATTGACATTTAATGTTGTTTAAACCATCTAACAAACAGACACCTCGTTGTGTACAAGGATAATTTAGGCAATGATCAATTTGTCGGCAGTCATCACCAATATAACCGATATTGCATTTGCAAGAAAAAAAACTAAAAACAATATAGAAATACGTGTTGAATGCACAAAATAAGAGATTTTATTTTTAGAAACCCTTAAAGAGAAATGGCTAAAAATTGATTTTTGAGTTAAAAATCGAAGCGATAGAAAAACCATAATAGACATCTCATTTGACTCCATTTTTTTACATAGATTTCAAGTATAGCTTTTATTTTGACACATTCTGATATTTTTTTGATGGCGCAAATGAGCAGTAGGTATGAGACAAAACGCACTCGCTCCTCTGTATTTTTTATTCGCATTCTATATTATATGTTGAGTTTTTTTAATTTTAGTGTCATATTTGGATAAAGCACAAGAAACTGTATATTGTAGTATTAATAATTCTTGAGTTTATTAGTAGTGCTGTTAATAACAAAACGCAATGACATATAGTTTTCTACGAATTTTGCTGTTATAGTATGAATAAGCAATATAAAATCATTTTTTAGAAACTTAATTAAGTTTAATGTGAATAGAAAGTCTACTTTAAGATATAAAAAACATACTTTACATGATTCGAACGCGCTTACAGTAGCTGGCATGGCTCAAGTTAAATTATTGGGTATCTGGTGAGAAATAAACTTGTTTGATGATGACTGATATTTGACATGTCAATAGTAGAAAACTCATATCTCTACAAACGATGTAAATGTTGGGAAGCAATCGACTTGCAACATTAAAAAAACCAAGAGTATGAAACAGAACAATATAATTTATAAAATTCAACTGAATGTCTTTGATACCCAGAAGCAGCCAGAACAAGTACCAATGTTATGTGACCGTCGATGTTTTTGAATAATATTTGATTCAAAAGAGATAGAAAGTTGTGGTTTTCGATGTTTGATACCTTTGTAACATGTATCTATGAAAAAACTGAGCTGAGCTTTTCAGTTAACCATGGTGTGTTTCACCGCACAAAATATACAAGGCTGTCAAAACACGAAAAAAGCAGGGTTGTTTACTCCGCAGGTTGGCTCGAACTACCTGTCTCTAGAGAATCATCACGAATCTGTGAACCGAGAGACCATAATCATATCGCTTTGTAGAACAGTTGCATATGCAGAAAAATTTTCTTAGCTATTGGGCACGCTTTAACGGAACTAAAAAAATCGTATTATAAAAAAGGTGAGACGTTCGAACTTTTCACTATACTATGCCCAAGCAGAAAATTTTTCATACCTGTTTGCCCAATAGCTAAGAAAATTTTTCTACATATGCAACTGTTCTACAAGTTCTACAAAGTGATACGATTAGAGTCTCTTGGTTCGCAGATTCGTGATGGTTCCCTAGAAATCAGGTTTTGAAAGACTCATTCAAGAACTCAGTAATAGCCCGAACGAACATTGAATTCGTGATCAGCATCGTAAGTTACCATAGAAAAACTAGATTTAACAAGAAAAATTTTGACTAAAATATAAACCAGTATGTAAACGTTGGATTGGGCACACTGAAAACGGCTTGTTCAGTGTGCCTGTAACACACTGGAATGGCACATATAGCTTGCATAGACAGAACGAGAAAAAAGACCGAAGAAAAGAATAATTCTTCCGGTTTTTTCCATAGAGAAACGCAAGATAAAAATTCAGATTACACAGTGACAATTTGCACATCATTTTGGACTCTAGCGGGCACACTTTATTTTTTACAGTGCATCTTCTGGCAAGGAATGTTCTTATTTTCCACCTTCTCAGCAAAGATGTATAACTTGTTTCATTGGTAATGTGTTAATTCTCATAATTACCTCCCGTTTACTAGACATAATCCATTTCCACAACTGATATTTCTGCATGGATCAATAGTATCTTTTATGGTTGTTATATTGTATATAACTATGAGCGGATAAGTATTCTGATACATGGAATAATTCGTCGAATTGGTTAATGTAATATTAATTGGTAAAATGGTTTCATTATTTTCATTTTTCGGTAAATTTAGTGTGTTCAATGGACGATTCAACACAACAGTACCAGTATCGGAATGTAACGATATTGTACCATTGTAGCTATCCAATAGTTGTAGTTTATATGTCTGATTCAAATCTGACTTTATTATAAATTGTCCAATTGGAGTACCGGGCAATGTTTCATTAATTATTATTTGTTTATTAAATAGGACTTGTGGTAGTTCATGATTTGATATTATGTTCAAAACGGGTACACGAAATGTTCGACGAATGATTCGTGTTCCATTTGGTGTTAAATCGAATGCTTCAATTACCAAATCAACATATGGATTTTCATATTTTATTATATCAGGAGAATAGGGTCCAATCTGAATAAGACTATTGTTTGGTAATAACTAAAATTAAAACTTGATGATGAATTATTATACCAGATTTGTAAACTCATAATGATAATTTGCTAAGCATGAGACCAATTACTATCAACTATTCCTGTCATATGATGCAGACTGTACGCTGATCTAGACATACAATAATTGCTTACTTTAAATGTACCAAGATTAGACAAGAGTGTCAAATTATATGTTCGATTGTGATCTTGTTCAATACCAAATTGTCCTAGTATTGTATTGACAGGTGCATTACTATAAAATGGTGAAGTATTATTGAAAATAATTTCAACTGGTGGTGGCCCCGGCAAAACATCAACACTAATATCCTGTGAAATAAAATAAATAAATGGGGTGTTTGTGTACACACATACGTTATATAATCATCAAAAGAAAAAAGAAGAGATATAAACGGAAAGTTAATACCTGTTTAACGATTGTGTCATTGCTTATTTTACATTTAACGCTAATCGTGAATGTTGGCCGTTGTGTAGCATTTAATGTGTAGTTATCCGGTAATAGAACGGTAAATATTGATGAATTTTTAAAGTCTACCGGAAATGATGTATTTAATTCGTCTATAGCTTGACATGTTGTTGTGTTAGTACCACCAGTTATTATACCTTTCACTATCGGTGTTCTTGGAAGGATTGTTTCATAGATTTTTGTGCGCAATTCTGATGACGACTATTAACGGATAACAGTAGAAAAAAGACAAACTAACGTTGAATATATCATAAAGTTGTTAGAACATACCTTAGTTGTTGTATTCGTCATTGGACGTGATGTGCTTGAGGATAAATGACCAAGATAATATACGAAAAATTCATGTTGAATCGTATGATTTGCTGAATCAGTAATATTGGCAGTAACGTTTAAGACATAATCAATAGAATCTGAGGGAGACACATCCAATATTTCGAAATCATATTGACGACTCTTAAAAATATAATCATATATAGGTTTCAATAAAACTACTTTCATAGCAGCATTTGAGGTGAAAATTTTATTAAATAAAGAAATTAAGAGTAGAGTTACCTTTTTTAGTATGATAAAATAATACTATCGAGACATTTCGTCAGTTAACTACTAACATCATCAGTCAAATGATCAGTTTAAACTGTGAAAAAAATAGAACAGAAAACATAAACAATGTAGAGAGAGAACAGAGGAGAAGAATTCTAAATATGTATGTTCATGCACAATACCACACGCACACATATAAAAATAACATTCAAAATAAAGCTTTTTTAGAAGTAAACATGCCTTATGACCTTGAATGAGTTCATGAGAAATAAACAAACAATGTTATGTTTGGCTTTAAATCTACTGTCAAATGTGTTCAGCTCTACTTTTCGAAAGTCAAGTGAAGAAGATAAATAGTTGTATATGGTTACTCGTGTTACGGCTGTAATGGCTATTACATTGGACAGACAGGTCGTGGGAAGCAAATTTGAAAACTGGAAGATCAAGACGCTTTCTATGGTAAGAGGTTCTCCCGGATAGCTGAACATTGATTAGAAACAAGACATAGGAATAACTGGTGAGCGGATATTCTGGCAATTGAACCAAACACGATTAAATGAACGATAGAAAAAAGTCTTCTTATGAACTCATTCAAGATCATAAACGGCCTGTCCAGCTAACGGTCACCTTCACTTAAGATTATTCGAAGATTTTTTTTTAACTTTAAGAATTTGTGAAGCACATCGTCTAACGTAGTTTTTGAAGCTGATTTCGAATATCAACTTAAAATTTCCAAAAAATTAAATTTTGACCTCAAAAAATGAAATCCAAATTTTATTTTTA